TGGGTTGCAGACACTCCATGTTTAGACATGAGAGTGCAATTTTAAGCCAAACACTGTGCTGTTTTTACAAAACTGAATTAGAAACCAAATCAGTTTTCTTTATTCCTTCAGACTCTCCCTCGTTACTGTGCCAGCTCAATCCACTAGCATGGCTGTCGTCCAGAACCAATCTGGACAACTGTTCCGGATACTAACCCTTCAGTGGACGGATCAGCATTCTAGCAGGGTTCTAGAATTCCCAGGATATGAAGCTTTCTTGAACTGTGGATCAATAATGGCAAATCAACAGTGTCCAGACATGGATGCACCTATTGCCTGTGTTAAGTGGGCTTCCTGAGAGCCCTTTAGACATTTCCATGAAAACCCCCTTTGCTGAGCTTCTCAAATAAGCACAACTGTGATTCCCTATCTCGGCATTTCCAGTTCCCTCACATAACAAACCAAGAGAGCCAAGACGAGCACTAACTGGCCAGCACCAGGGCCTGAGCTTAGCAGCCTGCCCACCCTCATTACTGATTTTCAATACCAGGGAAGCAACATGTCAATGAGCTTCAAAAAGGCAGGACACAGCAAAGCCTTCCTGCTCTTCCAGCCCAACAGATGGATTAAAGGAAGCTAGGCAGCCTGGGCAGTAAGGCCAGAGATCTCTGAGGAGGCAGTTGGTGGGTTGTTTCTTTTGGGGCAACAGAAATGGTGGGAGCAAGGAGGAAGTGAGCAGCTAAGACAAGCACAGATTTCGCTAAAGGATTTGGTCCTTTCTCCAAGCAGGATAAAAGCCCCAATAGGGTGCTTCTCATCTATACTCATTGGGGCCCAAATGCAAGATTGCTTCCTACAGTACATTCTCCAAGACTCTGTCCAACCTAGTGTAAATGTCAAGGGGACGTCTACCATATTTCCTTGGTGAGACTGTTGCACAGGCTAGTACACTGGTTCTCAACCAGGGTTTCGTGTAACCCTGGGGGTACGCAGAGGTCTTCCAGGGGGTACATCAGCTCATCTAGATATCTGCCTAGGTTTACAACAGGCTACATAAAAAGCACTAGCAAAGTCAGTACAAACTAAAATTTCATACAATGACTTGTTTATACTGCACTATGTACACTATACACTGAACTGTAAGTATAATATTTATATTCCAGTTGATTTATTTTATAAGTACACCCCTACTTCAATATAACACGACCCGATATAACACAAATTCAGATATAACGCGGTAAAGCAGTGCTCCGGGGGGGGGCAGCGCTGCGCACTCCGGTGGATCAAAGCAAGTTCAATATAACGCAGTTTCACCTATAAAGCGGTAAGATTTTTTGGTTCCCGAGGACAGTGTTATATCGAGGTAGAGGTGTATATTGTAAAAATGAGCTCAGTGGTTTGAGCATTGGCCTGCTAAACCCAGGGTTGTGAGTTCAATCCCTGAGAGGGCCACTTACGGATCTGGGGCAAAATCAGTACTTGGTCTTGCTAGTGAAGGCAGGGGGCTGGACTTGATGACCTTTCAGGGTCCCTTCCAGTTCTATGAGATAGGTATAAGTCAGCAATTTGTCAGTAATAGCGTGCTGTGACACTTTTGTATTTTTATGTGTGATTTTGTAAATAAGTAGTTTTTAAGTGAGGTGAAACTTGGGAGTACGCAAGACAAATCAGACTCCTGAAATGGGTACAATAGTCTGGAAGGGTTGAGAGCCATTGGGCTAGTAGATCTCACAGGCAGGAAGTCTTCCCTTAACATTCAGTCTATTCCTTCAAGTCATGTCCTGTTGAAGCATCCTAAATAATCCTTCTTCTTGGTACCTACACCCTTCAAATCCTTATAGACTCACGAGCCCACTCCTTAACTGTGGTCTTGCAAAAAATGAGCAGTACTTTCTACTGAGTATTCTGACTTCTATAGATGTCAAAAGGCTTGACAAAAAGGATTATTTTCATCCTCATTTTACAGCTGGGGCAACTGAAGTATGGAGAAATGACTTGCCCAGCGTAACACAGTAAACCAGCTTTAGAACCCAGGAGTCCTCAACTGTTGGAGCCTAGGCCTAAGCGTCTAGACATCAGTGCCCCTGTTAAATGAGATGATATCTAAGATGAACATCTATCACCTCACCACAGCATGGATCTTTTTATACAAGAGCTGAACTGGCCCTGGTTTAACTTGAGTTGGATGGAACCATTTTTGACCAAATGAACTTTCATCAAAGCTGAAACATTTTGCAGAGATGTATTGGTTTTGACAATCACCTGGAAGATTTTTTGGTCCAGGACTTGAAAGACAGAGACCCTCACACTCTATAGCCAGATGGCTAGAGCACCAGCCTGGGAAACCCAGGTTCAAGTCCTCACTCTGCCTGATTTAGAATGATCGGGGATGAAGAATTCTGCTCTGTATCAGGTAGAGCAGGAACTAGAACACGGGTCTCCCACATTCCAGCCCAGTGCCCTAACCACCAAGCTATATAGCATGAGACACCCACATGCTTCTCCCTCGCCCCTCTACCTATGTGGGCCCAAAAACCTCCCTGAATAGAAAACCGCAACTTTTGATCCAAAACCAGACATATCAACAATTTCATGTTCACAAAAGCGTTGGAAAGGCTTTGCTTGTGTTCCAACATGGAACGAAAATAAATTTCAAAAGATGCCACAACACGGAATCGTCATCCTCCTGACACTACAGCCATCTACACTCCAAACTATGCTTACTGCCGACAGCGAGCATGACGTTCCAAGGTAACAAGTGTCTTCAGTTGCCATTGAAGCAATGGGAATCCAGGATGCTCACCGCCTTTCTCTGTCTCACAGTCCCTAAGAGAAAGCGTTAAAATCTCTCCCTCAAACACAGTCCATATTTAGTGCATATGGATCAGCCTTTGAAAATTCTACTTGCCCTTGGCAAGTAGATAGTTGATTTTTCATCATCATCATGGTAAAACTGAGCAAGTAGATTGGGTTACTAGACAGTAAATTCCTATGATGATTTTCTGAGGCTGGTATCGATCAGCTTAAAATTAATTTATTCGTCTTTTGGCTTAAAACAAAACTCACTCAGGATAGCACCCAGCCAATGGACAGTTTCAAGGTGGTAACTACACAACTAATTGGGGAGATGAGACACCAATTCTGTGCCATGGAGGAAAAGAAGCGAAGCAGCTGCTAAGAGCCTGCTTGATAAGTAACTTTTGAAAACTCATCCCCTTGCAATCACTCTCCAGAAATTATTGCCTGATAGGTAACTGGGCCAGCAGCAGAATCTAGTACTCCCAAGGCTTGTTGTGAGCACATAATTATATGATCATGTAACCATCATTTAATTACACAATCCTCTTTCTAATAATTTAAAACGCTCATCACAATATCTGAGCTGCTCACACTCATTAAGGGACTTTACCCTCATAGAAGCCCTGTCACGTTGGGTGGTATTATTCACATATTACAGATAGGAGACTGAGGAACTAGGTAGATTAAGTGACTCAAGGTCTGTGTCTAAGGCAGTAATTGAACTCAGGTCTACCAAGTCCTAGTCCACTGCCTTATTTGCTATTAGAACATGCTTCCTACCCTCATTCCTTCACACGATGCTTCAGAGGTAAAACCACTGTTCTTCCTCTCTAGCTGACTAGCCTGAACCCAAGGCAGAAAGGACACACCAACATTTCCACATCTAACTATCTCACATGATTATGCAACTGATTGACAATTGCCTTTTGGTAGCCTCAAGTGTGCCACAAGTCAGTTTGCACACACACACACTTGCCACAATGCTGCAAGTCTGGCTGAGGTGCCAGATGACAGGATAAGAAGAGACTGGCATTTCCACCCAAATCACTGCATGCTCAGAACATTAAAAATCAGACTCTATCCCACCCATAAATATCATCTAACTTATTCCCACACCCACCAATTCAGAATCTTGCACACATACCCTCTCCTAAGGCCTCAGAAGATGACCAGCCCAAAAGCACTTTCATCATTAATGTTGACAGGTCACATATGCTGAACCCCTCATCCTGTCTTCAAACAAATGGGATGCCACATACCAGGCAACCTGATCAACTCAACTCTCTCCTCACTCACCCTGCATAGCCAATGGTCTCTCCCTTCTCCTCCTCGTATAGGCCTGGTGGTAAGGGGCAACCCCGATTCTTGTGATCTCTACCTGAACATCCCTCTCCCACATACACAGCAAGCAGCAATCCCTGCTGTACTGTACCCCATGCCTCTTGGGGAGGTCCTTATTCACCTCACCATTCCTTGTTCTCCCAGAATATGGAGACACTCCCGATCATCCTTCCACCTCTCATCCTCCCCAACCCGATTGTGATCCCAGTCCCACCTATTCTCCTCCTTCCAGTACAAACAAAACTGTCACAAAGAGTGGGATCCCCTCTGCTGGTCTCACACCCTTCTCCCCTTCATCATGGTCCACTGTGCTGCCCAACTCCAAAAAACAACCTCTTCAGCCTGGATCCCTCCTTTTCCCTAGAACAGTCCCTTCCCCCCCACCCCAACTGCAGGCCCACCTTCCTCAGATTCCCATCCCCGACCCCACCCAGGGCCCTCCCTATCCCCCTTCTACAACCCCCCAACTCCTCCCCCCAGAGACTCACCTTGCCCCCTTTCCCGGCACAGATCACTGTGGCCAGTGGCTACTCCTTCCCCCCCTCCCCCCACCTGTCATCCCAAAGGCCTCTCACAGCCCTTACTCACAAGACCTCAATCCCCTCCCCCTCACTCCCTAAATCCCGCCCCTCCCTACCTAACCCCCATTTTAGACCCTTCCCCTCCAGAGCCCCAGTCTTCAAGCGCCCCCTCCCACGGGGCCCGCTATCCCCACCCTTAGACCTCAGACTCCTCACCTCGCGCTCCTGTCATCCCGAGGTCCCTCGCCCTCCCAGAGCCCCAGAGCTCAGACCCTTCCCCTGCCAACCTCGCCCCCCTCAGGCCCCGCCCCGGGGCCCCTGTCATCCCCCAGGGCCCCTCCTCTCGCGGCCCCCCCTTACTGGGCCGGGCCCGGGCTGGGCTGATCTCCAGGTTCAGGTCGATCTTCCGCCGGGCCTCCCGGTTCTCCTGCTTCAGCTTGGCCTCCAGGCGGGACAGCTTCTGCTCCAGCGAGGACGCCGCCATCTTCCCCCCGGAGCCAGCGCCGCCTCGCAGCCAGAATACACAAACACGCGCTGCGCAGGCGCGGCATGAGCCCGCCGAGCCGCCGTACCTTCTGGCGAGCCGCGCTGCACAGGCGCGGGATTGAACCAGCTGCGCCGCCGTAATCCCGCCACACACCCACCTCCTACGAGGGGCGTTTGTACGCATGCGTCCACGCCCAGCTCTCCACCAGTGCCCCCTGCCCGTTGAGGCGAGGCCCTCGGACTGAAAAGGGACCGCATGCGCCGTGATGATCACGTAGCGTCACCTGCTGGCAAAGTTATCGCACTGCAGGACCCGCTAAAGTGTAATACACATGCGCATAGCGTCCATGGCCCCCGACGGCAATAACCCTTCGGAGACTCCGCTGCGCATACTGGTGCCCTCTTGTGTTTGTTTGTGGGTATTTCAGCCTGCTCAGCCTGTCTCGGGCAACTCTTAATGCGCACGCGCTCCCAGCTAGCTGGTTGGAGACTCCAGGGCCTGGGTTTTAGGGAGACCCTCCAACTCTACCCCCCCCCCCCAAACGGGAATCCTGCCCCTCCCCCCAAATCCCCCCAGCATGGGGAACCTGCCTCTCCCCCAACACTCCCTAGTCTAGCAGTTGTGCCTCCCCCTAACAACCATCTGGTCTGGGAGTCCTGGGGACTCCCCGTCGGTCTCCAGTCTGCTGACTCCTGGGGAACCCCTGTGAAAATCCCCCCCATTCAGGGGCCACCCAGCTCCACTGAGTCAGGGAGCTGGGCTCCAAATAAACCTCGTGTCCCGCCAGCAGAATGGCGAGAGAGAGCGACAGTGCACTCACAACCTTGCACTAGGGCCCCAAAGCCAGGGCCCGGCTGGAGCAGACCAGGCTAAGAGGGGCTGGGGCCTAGTAAACCTTGGGATAGAGCAGGCTGAGCTGCACCAGACTGGGGATGTGCTCACCCCCGGGGGGCACTATGGTGCTTTCATCCGACAGAGAGACGGACGTGATTGCAGAAGGGGGTGGATGGTGGAAGAAATGGATCCAAAACTCACAGCAGGATAGGAATGAGGCATCTGCTCTGAGCGGGATGGCCCAGCCAGCTGCCTGATGCTTCCAGTGCACCCACGTGTGGGCCCGGCGGCATCTGATTGCGCTAGTTAAAAATGTGGCATCTCCCTCAAAGGAGCCACAGAAAGTTCTAGTTGGGGCTGGTTGTCCCATCAAGAGCCAGATTTTCAGAAGAACTTGGGGCCAGATTTCACTGCTCCCTCACCCAAAATGGATTTTCCCTCACCCCCCCTTGTGGGGCTCGCCCCCCTCCCCCCGCATAGGGGCTAATTCTCCCCTGGAGCCTACTCACCCCCCAAAACTGGGGACCCAGATTCTCCCTGCCCCAGTCCGTCCCCACCCCACTCAGTGCCCAGCAGCTCCCATTGTGGCACGTGACAGCCAGCTTTTCAAATGAGCTCAAAACACCCGGTGCTTGAAAATCTGATCTTGCATCCGCAAGCCCCTGATCCTGCACTGAGTTTTGTGGGACTGGATCTTGGTGCAGGATTCAGGCCTGGGCTGCTCGCCTCACTCAGAGGAGAGCTCCAAAAATGCACTAAAACAGGGGTTCTCACAACCAATTTTTGGGTGGCCTCAGAGTGCGCCCACTAACTCTTACTGGTGGCTGCACTTACACTTTTTCCTAAAATTATTTATTTTTCCCAAAGTTAATTAAGTAATATGCACATATATACATCCAAGTCATTGTCATTTATGTATGTAAGGTTTTGGGGTTTTTTGCAGACTCAATAATAAAAACATGCACAGTTATCTCTAGTCTTTACTGGACCTAACAGAATAGAAACACAAATAAGGTGCTTTGCACATTCTTGTCTTTTTTATTATTGTTTCTTGTGCTTGTTTTGGTAAAAGTGATTGTATAACAATTCTGAAGTAAATTTAAAAATGCTTTTACATAATAGAATTCCAAATAATAATTAAAAATATATCTGGATGGCTTGGGGTCTGGGGAGGAAAAGAGAGGGGAAGGGAGGGACGGCCGCGACTGGCCCAGGGTTCCTCCGGGCAGGTGGTGGAGATCGGGGCAGGACTTTGGCCAGACCAGAGCTCCCAATGAGGGGGTGGGGGCACTCTGGGCTTCGGCCAGCCCGGGGCTCCTCCAGGCAGGTGGGGGGCAGGGGGATCTCAGGGCTTTGGCCATCCCGGGGCTCCTCCGGCCTCTCGCCTCCTCACTCCACCCCCACTTGCCTCTTGCCTCCTTACCTCACCCCCACTCACCTCCTCACCCCACCCCCGCTCACTTCTCGCCTCCGCACCCCACCCCTGCTCACCTCCCGCTTCCTCACTCCACTATCACTCGCCTCCTGCTACCTCACTCAATCCCCTCTCGCCGATCGCCTCCTCACCCCACCCCCGCTCGCCTCCCACCTCCTCACCCCACCCCCGCTCACCTCCCACCTCATCTCTCGCCTTCTCGCACACAACCCCGCTTGCTTCCCGCCACCTCACTTCACCTCCGGTCGCCTCCCACCTCCTCACACACACCCCCAGCTGGCCTCCTGCCTCCATACTCCACTCCCACTCACCTCCCACCACCTGACTCCACCCTCACTCAACTCCCGCCTTCTCACTCCAACCCCGCTCGCTTCCCGCCATCTCACTCTACCCCCACTCGCCTCCTCACTCCACCCCCGCTTGCCTCCTGCCACCTCACTCCACTCCTGCTGGCCTCCCGCTTCCTCACCCCACTCCTGGTCGCCTCTTGCCACCTCACATCACCCCCACTTGCCTCCTCACTCCACCCCCGGTCACCTCCCACCTCACACCACCCCCGCTCACCTCCCACTTATTCACTC